GCCCCCGGGTGATGTATGGAGTGGTGGAGTTAGGTTCAAATTGCGCCGGGAAGTGGCCGAGATTAGAGCCGACGCGGGTCGTACCGCGCCGCGAACGTAAGCCCACTTAAGACTGTTTTTAATACTAGTATTTTTTACGCGATCCCGCCCGGATTTAGCGGATGAGCGGCGTCGACGCGATCGTGAGCTTTGATTTATCGGTTACGGTTGATTTTTCGGTTTTTGTTCTGGTGTGTTTACGTTTGTGGGTGACGCGCGGTCGCGGGTGGACGCAGTAATCCCAAGGCTTCTGCTAGATTATGCTGGATATCGCCGGATTTCCTGATAGCTCGCTGTGAACTATTCGCGAGCAACCGCTCAACCTTGCATCAAAAACCTTCCAGCATCAAAACTTTGTTCTCTAAAGTGAGTACCTTATGAGATGGTTAAGTCCGTCCTATCACGGATGTTGCTTATCGTTTAATGGCTATTATCAGTTGTAGCCTAAGTTTATATTCCTTCACAATGTTGTAATTTCTTCTCAACGACAAAATACAACTATGACATAAGTTTACGTTTTGTTTAGCTATTTACACAAAATTCTGAGGTTAAAAAAACTGTAGAAAATGTTAGGATCCTACATAACCTCTTTTCACTCGTTTTATAATCCATAAGTAAAATTTAATTACATGAAGGTTATGTAGATAATTAGATCTCTTTGTCATTGTTTTGTTGCTTTCAAAGACAATGTTTTATTTTTTAAAAAGAAGACGATAACGTATAAATTACAAACCAAAATTATAATAAACGTTTTTGTATGAAACAAAGGTTAAAACAAAATCATATGAAGAGACAAATAGTTAATTGAAATAATGACATAACCTACAATGTCGTACAAAAACATATGGAAGAATAATATTGGTGAAGTCTTTTATGAATTTATGAAAATAGAGAAAACGTTTCTGAAACAGAACGTTCTAAAACATTTTTGTCTGTATAGATTTATGATTATTAACTTAACTTATAAACTCCTCAATTTAAGTATTGACCACTTTTGTAGATATTTATTCTACTTATTGAAAATAGTAACTAAAAAAGATCTACAAATAAATATAAAAAAAATATATACTATGACATCATAATTTAAAGGCCTTGTCTTGAGTAAGCGCCAATTTAATTAATAATACAAAATATAGAGTCTAATATTGTGTACAAAAATCTTTGTTTCTTATAAGAATTTTAAAACTCAAAGATTTTTTGAATAAAACCTAAAATATGTACAACTTCGGTATTGTAGAGACAAAATCATTTTACAATTTGTAGGAAAAATAATTTTGTTTTATTGCTTTTACCATTTTTTGTTTATAAAATAAAATAATTATTTTAATATTCACATAAGAATATTAATAAACTTATAAATAATATCAAAACTCATAACGTTCTAGGCTAAAATACAGGCTTTCCTTATCTGGGATACCGACGGCTTTTAATTTTAAAACTGAGTAAGAATTGTTTGTATTCAAAAATGTATCTTTCAATTCAACAAATGTCAAATAGGCACATATTTACTTCATCAGCTCAAGGAATATAATATTTAAGAAAACACAGATAGTAATAATTATAGCACAGATAAAATAAGATATTATAATAAATATTTATCAGAAAATTATTGCATTGTTATTCTTCATGATTGAAATTAGTTTATATTTTCTACATAGTTTATTACTAGTTTATGTCTAATTTTAAATTGACGAAGTTAAAAATGTTAAGCTAAAAAAACAATGCGCGTAGAGCATGGTGTTACCATTAATTTTATTTTTGTATTTTCTCAATTATGACTTAAAGTCCATTTTTGAAGAAAATTTGATTTGATGAACTTGATTTTCTAGTTAGGAACATGAGGATTTTTTTCTAGTTCTTTTTTTAGTAATTTTTTAGCAAAGTTTAATGCCCATTAATTAGTAGTGATGAGCGTAGCATAACAATATAGTATTGCCTTTTCGTCCATTGTGAAAATATTTGAACAATCGTTTTAATATGTTTGCCATTGCTGCACACCTCTTTCAGACCTGGTGATAACATTTTAAAATAAATTCTTCTTATCACTTCATTGCACATTTTGTGTTAAAAGACCAAAAAATAGTGTTAAAACAAGTGACACAATATTTTATAGGTATATACATTTGTATTAAAGCATATTATTATTGTCTCTACTTTTAAAAAGAAAATGCAAGGGGATGACAATCATACTTCATAATAATATTTTGTACTTTTAGATGGATGGTTGTTTGTTAGAGTTTGTAGCCTCAACAGAAATATCGTTGAAATCTGACATATACCTACAGGATAGTCAGGAAGAGTCACCCCTTACTTAGGGTATGCTCCCCTCGGTGGGAACTTATAGTGAGCTGGTGATGATGAGTCATTAAGAACACATAGGCTACTCACTTTTGTTTTTTTTTTTGTAATTCCACGCGGACGGAGTCGCGGGAGAAAAGCTAATATTTTACACAAGTGAATAGACTGTAGAAACAAAACCTTATTAACCATCCAACGAATCGTAGAACAAACAATGTTCAATAATTTGAACTTTTCGAGCGGAGAGGTGTTGTTGCCTGATATCTTTCTCACGATGCTATATTTAGTGATAGCCGTCAATATCGCACTATTGACAATGTTAAATCATGTTATCAGCCGATACACGAGATACGGTCGAAATGTTTGCGTGTCGGATGTCAGCCGGCTTGTAACACCGTGTAGTTTTTGTTCATTTTCATGTAATGCCGATATGATTTCGATTTCGAGTGACGTTCACGCGATAAACTAATAAAATAAATTCAATGTTTCCAATTGTGTTGTACAAAGAGATTGTTATTAACGTTAAGAAAGATAAGTGTTTTAAGTAGTTGTATTCAGTGACATTAATTGAATTGGTTGTAATGAAATTTGACCTTGTTTTGTTTTTCGTGTGTCATGTACACAGATAACGTTTGATATTTATGTTAAAAAGGTATGTTGTTCAGTTTTTAAATAATAGAAATTAGAACCTTACTTTATTCTAACTAACATAAATGCGAAAGTTTAGATGGATGGATGTTTGTTAGAGTTTGATGCATACTGCTGAACGGATCTCGGTGAAATTTGGCATAGTTGTAGAGAATAGTCTGGAAGAACACATATGTTACTTACATTTGTTTTTTCAATTCCACGCAGACGGAGACGCGGGCGAAATCTAGTTATGATATAATTCTAAATAACCGAAATATTAATTCCATTAGTTTAGAAAAAGCCTATTTAACTACTCCCAAATATATTTATATTTCTAACGAAAATTTTAAATTATATTCGTAACATAAATAAATGGGTGGAACGTTACTTTGAATTTTGAAAATACGTATTTCTAAGGGTTAAAAAAAGAGAAATGACGTAAAAGAACTAACATAGAATATTGAAATAAAGATTCGTCGTTCGGAAGTCGATTGTGTTTTAATAGAGCGAAGCACTTTCGCCAACTTAAATCTTTCAGCTTAAAAAAGGCTTTGCATCGGTTTAAAGGGATCATGGCGGCTCAGAGCGCTGGCTGGCTCCGGATTTGCCCAATTACTCAGCGCGGACTCAAGACTTCTGTACTGCCAAGAGCGAGGTCACTTTGTTGCGATGGGTCAGGTTTTGTTATGCCAACTGTTGTTTGGAATCATATTTTTTTATTATTTTTTTTAATTGGATATCGTAGGTACTCGATAAATACATTAGCGTTAAGAATGTAAAGAAGCAGATTCTTTTATGAATGTTAATAAAGAAAAAAAACCATCATGCTTCGTGAGATATGGAAATAATGAAAATCATAAGTTTATGTGAATAGAGGATTTTATAAAATTTGGATAAGTTTATGAATGAAAGGTTAAGTGGGGTCATTTCATTTAACGTAGAACATGTCAAGAAAAGTAATGTCATGTTAATGGAATACTTAGAAATAAATGTTTCATTCTAAACCAGAATAAATTTTTAAGCCCATAAAATGATATTTGTCCTGTATATATGAACTTGTCATTCAATCAAGCAGTTTCTTTTGAGTCGTTAACATACAGCGAGTGTTATTTATAAGCACAATTTAAGGTGCGTACACACTGATGTGTATTTTGTAATAAAAAAGAAACAAACGCGCCATAAAGTATGGCCTGATCGAGATATACGGTGTGACAACGTTCATAATTCAAATCGGTGTGACAGAGCGCCTAGGTGTTGCGTTATAAAACTCCAGGGAAGTGTAGAAGGAAAAAGATACACGCTGTATAGTGATTTACAGCTTTAATTGCCCTTTTTTACATACGGCTACGTTTCAGTGGGAATTCAATGTAACCTTAAAAGAGAGAAAAACGCAAACGTGAACGTTCTACCGACCTGACCGGGTGCTTTGATGTTTTTTTGTTCTTAATGGCCAGTCCTCGGGAGAAATAAAACGAAGGGATTTACGTGATAGGTGAACTAGGATCTGTAGGCAAATGAGGAATATTTAGTTACAGAGTTACTAACAGTTTGTTAGTAAAACTAAGTTAAGTAAAAAAAAATATGAAGACACGGTCACTGAGGTAAAATTTAAGAGTAAATTTAGCTTCAGATAAACCATGATTTGAAGAAACTTGAATTGGTAATCGTTAGAAACTTGACTCATGTGCTGAATATTTACTTACATTTCTTTTATCTATTCTATTTTTATAATGAAGAATTGATCGGAGGGTTGGTATATTCTAGACACGTCGAGAAGATTTTCAGTTATTTCTACCATCAAAAATGTGATCCGTCA